AAACCATGCATTTTCCGTGGCATGCATTTTCTCGCGTCCATAGTGTTTCGATTATATGTGCTGCATAGATAATGGCACGTTTCCATTTACAATCGATCTGCCGCATTTTTAGATACCTGTTCCAACATTCCCGCTTTTAAGGTGCAGCGACACAGTCATGTTTTACTTTATTTTTTGCTAATTACATAAAAAAAACATGAGGATAATATAAGATTATTACCTCTTTCGTCAATGGCTTTCAGCAAATTGCGCCCAATTCGATATCCACTTTTTACGAGATCCAGTACCCTGCGGGTAGCAAATTTTAAAAAAACACGTTCAATATTTTACGTGTAGTTTTCGCCGCGTTTCATATCATGTAAATATTATTTTGAAAGAAACTAAAGAAACTAATAACACAATGTGTGAAGCAAAGAAGAAATGCACAGAAGAGCAAGGTAGACATAAGTTGACGAAGAATAGGGCAGGGTAACTTACAAGTTCTTGTCTCTAGCGTACATGGGTCCGTGGAAGGAACCGTGAGAAATGTCTGCAAAATCATGAGTTATTATTAGGCTATGTTTTGAAGCTATGCGGCACGTATTTTACGCAGATATCATGCTTCATTCAAGTTTCATTCAAAGTGGTTTTATTTTGTAACCCTTCAGGCACAAGTCTTATAGTTCGTCACCAATTGAGACGTATAGTGCATTAAAGAAATGTTGGAAATCATTATATGAATAAGCAGCTTTACTCACACAAAGAGTTTAAATCGTAGTGATAGGTGCTGTAAATGTCGAAGATGGAGCCAGTGTATCTAAAAGAGGAAACCGGGTATATTTTGTTTTTGTTTCGATGGCACGCAGTTGGAACAATGTAACTGAAATTTAAAACAAGAACTGCCAGCAATGATAAGATCATGTTATCAAATATTTTGAAATGTTCTGGTACAAGCTTACTTATAAAAGAAAAAAAATATGCCTAGCGCTACTGATAAGCTTTCCAAAAACTAGACTGCCTTTATATTGTCGAGGTTTTATTTCGACCTCGGATATCCTAGGTAAAAAATTCAAGCCCCGTGGTTATGTCTTTCACTTAAAATCTTTGAGGCGTCACCTGCGGCCTGAGTTACGTTTCAACGTAAATTTAGTTCTCTTCGCTAATCTAATTTGTAAGGTAAAATTTAACACTTTATTTTCATCAAATACCGTATATTCCGGGCTATAGTCCACGGACTACACATGTTTAAAAGTGGAAATTTTAGGCTGTGCGGACCCTCTACGCATGCGGACTACACAGGAATTTTGTTTTTCAGAATCGTCCATTATGGCGAGCCGTGGTAGATTTCGTGAATGTAAGATTATGTTATTGATGGTTTATGTGTGATACAAGCTTCTTTGTGAGCTAAGAAAGCAGGCATTTTTCAAGGTGTGCTGTGTATGAGAAGATTTTCGTGTCGACTAAGCACCTGGTGCGGACTATGCAAGTCCTGCGGACTATGGATTCAGAGTATCTAATCAAACACTTTTTTGGGGGCCTAAATTGGCCCCTGTGGACTATACGCCGGGTACGGACGATAGCCCGGAAAATACGGTACTTGTTTTTTGTGAAATGATAACACAGATGACACGACGCATCACATTATGATCACCATAAGGATCCTTTCAGCTTAATTCCAGACGCCGATCACGCTACGAGCTAATCAAACAGCGTCAAAAAAGTTACTGGGCCTATTTTGTTTGTGATTGGTTCAGCGACAATAGATTACGTCAGGAACATGCCGAACGCCGTGATGGTGCGCTTTCGATGCTGTCTGATTGGTTCTATCAGCTCGTAGAGTCCTGCTTCTGGACTTCAAAGGGTTCATCAAAGAAATTTGAATTATACCCTAAATTTTCAGAAGTAGGCTTGAATATGATCCACAATATTCAAAAATGACAAACGCACGTTTCTGTTTTGAGTCTGATGGCTGCATTTTTGGTTATAAACGGCCAACTCTCGCGAGCGCTCCGAGAGCAGCCAGCGGAGAGCACGTGACATCCGGCACAAGCGTGACGCAGCCTGTCTCGGAACGAGCAAAGCAGCGGCGAGGCTGACGTCGACAAGACGATTGCAAGCAGGGCATCTTGCCGTTACCATGTCTCTTCTCGCGCAGGTAAGTGCGTGCAATGACAAGCTTTCCAAAGCTACGTTCACGCGAAGGCTACACAAGCTTGCACGCACGGGGCACCAGCGAGGCTGTAGTGCGAGACAGGCATCGTCACTACCTGTCAATGTTCCTAGACGGACGTTACACACGAGGCTTTAGTGACGTCCACCAGGTGTCATTTTCTAATCGTTTAATTCGTTTTAAAATGTCTTTTCGTATTTTTGCTAAGAAGAGATAGGGGTGTCCGATGTGATACCGCTCCCTTGAACACGTACAGACCAAGAAATAAGCACCGACATTTCGTTGTAGTATCCCATTAAAGGGGCGATGCAACGATTTTTGTATTTTGCGCCAATACCGCTTAGAACGCATCCCTGACGTTAATGACCTGTGAAATACCCGTTCGTTTTTCACCACACGCAGTCGAAGTCGCAGAAAAAAGTAAACAAAAACGAGCAGAGTTCACCCCCTCAACTCACAGCCAGAACAAGCGGCCACGTAATCTGGAGCCGATTGTATGCCGCCAATGTTGATCATAGCCATGCGCTGGGGTTGGCAAGGCACAAGACACGCGCTGAGTTCCAGACATTGTTATGGTTCGGCTGTTGTCGTCATTGCAGCGATTGGACATAGGACACTGCCCGAATGCTTCTCGAGCTATCGATTATCACGAGCCCAAATCGAATGTCCACGCCATGCTCGGGTCCAATCTATGAGCCGCATTCAAATATCGTCACTGGGCGGTACCGCTACCGCCCAGCTACGTCATCAGGTTTTGCGAAGGAGAGATTGAATGAAAACACTCGGTTTTGTCCTCGAAATTACAGCACAACAAAGGAGTTGCTTGTTCAGTGGCGTTGCGTGCGATATCCTTGAGTCCCACTAGTGCCAGTAAGCTCGTTTAAAGTGAAAAACATTCCAATTAGATATCGTTGCACCGGTCCTTTAAAGTGAAACAAAGCAGGGTTCTAGTATATCGTTCCGATATATCCCATACCCCCTATAACGATACCCGATAACGATACGATTCATGCTCAATGGCGGCGGCGGAGTATCTTGTTTCGATCGGAATTAAAAGCTAGTTCTCACACAAGCACAAGTAACAAGACAAAACTTACGAGCCTGATTATATTGGGGGTCCTAACACGGTGGTACCAAGCAGGACCAAGATACCGAAACATCGCCGCCTGCTGCAATTGTTCAGAGGTGCGGAGTTGGCCGATCGCAGCAGGCGTCGATGTCCCGGTTCTCCAATCCCGCTCGGTCCCGCCGTGTAGATTAATGCCCCAGATGGCGCTAACACACGAAGAGAAACACCAAACGCGCCGTGACCTAGCGCTTCCTGAGAAGCTTGAATTCCCCTCTCTGCTCGCAACGTTAGTAGCGCTCGGCCATACGAATAAAGGGAGTATAGAGTTGTTTCGACACCCTTCCCGACCTCACTAACTCATCAGCTGAGCCTTCAGACACTCACGCAATGTCCAACTCGTGACCGTTTTTAGGAATCATGAAGTATTTGTTCCAGTAGTGCTTGGTCATCTCATATATCCCTGGAACCGGAGTGTTGATGTTTATCTTAGTTTCCTGGAAGGAACGTCACAGACGACCGTCATTTACAGCCGAGAGCATTATTATCCGACCTGATTTTTCCTAGCAATATTACCTGACCACCATAGAGGTTGAGAAGAGGGTCGGTCATGGTTGCGTTGATGAAGAATAGCTGAACTCTTACATCTTTTAGCTGCAATGAACAAAAAAAGGTACAGGGAATGGCCCAACTTCTGTAAACATCACTGTTACATTCAACCCTCTATTCTGACAGCAATTTTAAGAAAACACAAATATTAAACAAACTCATCTAGGCACAGTAAGACGTTCTACACCCTACGATAGAGCAGCACCACTTCCCAGTCTTTGTGGGTTGTAAAAAATGTCTCCTTGGAGCCGGCATTGTGCGGCCAAGCCCCTATAATGAATACAAGCTAGATCAAATAAAGTGAAGGTTTGTTGTCGTTCTGCTTTTAAGGAGGACATATGTTACTGAATGTTTTGCCATCACAGGTTAGTTCAAGTGACCGCGCTCTCAGAAAAACGAGGGTATACTCTTACACCCCTTGTCCCATATAAGACGCCTAAAAACTTCATTTCGACGTGCAGCGTACTGACGTCGAATGAACGTCAGTCAAGCCGCACCCTTGCGGCTTTTTGTCAGAGCTCCCTACATCATTTGTTTAGTACTTTGTACTTGGTGATGTTAAATAAACGTTGATTTGATTTGATTTGAGTGGTACAACTTATTAAAATAGCTATTGTGCGTGTTACTGACTACAAACAAATTATCGGAGTTTTCTTGGCTCTATTGCAAAACCTCAGTGTTACTATTCTCGTTGTTGTTTTTCTCTTCTAGCCTTTGATACGCACTTTAGCTGTTTAATAAGGTATATTTTACACCGTTATCATGCCCCTTGAAAGCGTTGGAGCCGTCACTGCGCTGAACATCGAACTGAAGTTTTGGGGTGCATTATGTGGGATAAAAGGTTGTAAAAGTACACCCTTTCTTTAGTGTGTAAACGGTTAAGAAGAGTGAAGTTTCTTCGAAATATTGATGTGCAATTTCTCGACATTTAGAAAAATAAGCTGCGTTTCTGCATCATAAACAGAACAACAATAATGGTGGCTGAGCATAGTATTTTGTATGTTCGTAAAGTCTATTATTTTGACATATTTTGAGTCGTTTTTATATGAAGTACTTCTTGTTAAATAGTTTGTAAAATGTGTCCCTAAAACGTGTTTATTTGACGTGTTTCGTAAATTGTTTCGCACAGAAGTTTTTATTGTAATTTTAAGTATTATGTGTACACGTCGTTAACCTTTCATAAGAGAAGTCGATAGAATTACTACTACGTGCATGCTTCGGTGTGAAATTAGCGGCTGTGCAAAGTACAATTCCGAAAATTTGGCAATCTCTACACCTCGAGCTTCGAAATTTTAAGTCTCCGAAAGAAACGTGGCTACGGCGTTGGCATTTAGCTGGACGCTGCTCCCAAGAACACGCTTTAACGTATATGTTATTACATAAATATAAAAAGTATGACCCCGATCATTATTGCACGATCTGACGTGGGACACAGCCGACTATATGTTAGGAGTGGTAGTTTTTTTTAACAATTTGAGAAGATTTCCAAGCCAACAGTAATATAATCATGATCTAAAAAATAGGAAATACTGCCGCGACCGTTCATAGCCAAGTCGGTTATACGAAAATAGCAGCTATACAACGAAGCGACCACGATTTCCTATTCCCGTTCGCACTTTTTAATGTGTTTTTCTCTATGTTTAGCGAAGGAAATTGAGCAGCTCCCGCGGATATAGCGAAGAGACATTTTCTGATAATTTTAAAAAATAAGCAAATTCTGAAAGTTTGCCGAGTCCAAGACCGCCGCACTTTTCTGCCATAACCGAGGAGACGCACAGATCGAGCCGCAGACCTGCTGCCAAGGCCGCCGGCGGCAGCCTCTGCATCGTCGTCTGCTCCCCGCTCCTTATCTGGGAACCGACTTTTCCTCATCGCACACGGAGTAGCCGTTGTGACGTGCCGATAGGAGCGTTGAGAGTACTCGCGGCAACGTAACTATGACGTATTGACGGAGGCGACGTAAAGAACTTAGATTTGAGAGAGGGAGCAACTCCACTTTAATAGCGGACGCCTCCTGGGCAGACGGGCTCAAGTGCGCCTCCATTTGTTTGCCTTGTGGCCAACGTGGCGAAAAAACCGGGTGGACAGGAGGATACGTTTGCAGACGGGTGAACGCTTTTGACTTCTTGCAGGCTTCAGCTCGTTTTGCAAACTTGGCCCAAAAAACCACGTGACCCAAATCGAGGAGCTGCCCCCTTTTTTTAAAATCTCTGCTCTCTAAACCAACGAAACACGAACATGAGCGCGAACTCGGTGCGCAGCGCGCTTTGTTTGCTTCGTGTTCTGTGTCGGTGTCGCTAGTCGGTGTGGTCGCTCTCTGCGCGAAAGTCTAGCTTCGCACAAGTACCAATTCGGCGACTCATCACCACTCAACGATGGCAAAATTCGGCACTGCCGGCATCTCGTCGGGGAAAAACAAACCAATATCCTTAAAACAAACGCGTGCCGTCATCAGCGTGCCGCCAATTTTGACGAACTGCGCATGAACGTAAAGAATGCTGTCTACCGCCGGCGTCCTCCGCGAAGACCGTTGCAGCTGTCAGTAGGGCTCTGAACGCGGTCCATATGTAGCTCGCAGGATCTTCTTTCGATCGGAGCTTCTCGCAGTTCGCAAAAAGCGGTTCCGATCAAGCATAGCGCGCGTGCAGAGAAGCCTCGACTCCTTTCTGCAGGTACGATAAAGATGTGCGCATGACGGCCCCAGTTAGCTTTTTTTTTTTTCATTTTTTCTTCGTGTGTGCTACTTCTATGAAGCCCAGATATAACAAACAAGTGGGTATCGCGAAGTAATTTCAGATTCCCATCGACTTCGTTTTAACCAGTCTCGACAGTATACGAAAAGCGCCACTGTTACACGGCTGCCCGATGGAGGGCGCCGCTCTGCTTAATGGTCGTAAGAGATCACAAGAGGTTGTAGCGTACTCGGTCGTAAGCAGTAGCAAATGTGTGGACGAGCCCTGAGGCAGTAAATTCTGCTTATGTTTCTAAACCAGATGTCCCATACCTTTCGATACGCCTCCACGCGTGCGTCAGCTGTCGTCAAGTAGCTGTAGGCGTAAGAGTAGTCGATGCTCTCGTACAACTTTCGGTAGACATTGAAGAATTTAATCCAGAGCTGAAATGTAGGATGAATAAAGAATGTATTTTGACGTTGTGTGCATATCTTGTAGAGGGCGCTAAGTCGGTAGGAAACTGTTCTTCATTACATCTCCTTGTCAGATTAAGTATCACTCTATTCCTTCAGAATATATTTCTGGCGCCGCCATTCGGGAAGCGCAACAGGGCGGGAGAAACTTTAAACAGTTACAATTAAAGAGTGCGACTTCATCAGCTTTCATGTGGTGTCAGGAAGCCGAGAAGATATCGTTTTGCTCTGTCACGGATGGTTCTGATACGCCCGATGACAGAAAAGCGTATCTTGTGATTTCAGACCAAGCTCCAGATAACAATAATAAATTCAAGCAACAAGATGGCTTACATGTTGCTACCTTGAGGCGTTGCCAATTCAGTTGCTCTAGATTTATCTAAAAGACTGCGTAGCCGAAATTTAAATATGTTTTGTGCTTGTTTAGTTGGCGGAACGTTAGTCAACCCCAGTGGGCGTCTCATGTGTCCGCTATAAAGGAGAGATATAGCCAGTGCAGTACCCCTGCTAGCTTGGGGTTTCTAATGTGCATCACGCAATAATGATGGACACAACAATGACGCAATAATAGTACAATGCCTATCCAGATCGAAACGAGAGTGGGTGGGGATTGATACCAGGTTCACTAGGTTCTTCAGCGCGAGTTTTCGCTCCAGGTGCTCTGAGTTGCGCTGCATTAACACACTGGGACACACATTCCCTTGCTGGCATTAAACAAAACCCGTTATTGTATAACTTACAAGAGAAGCGAGGGTCTTACCTTGTCCCCCTTGAGGCCAAACTTCTTCTTAATCCACATGTGGTAGATCCAGGATGCGGCCATGGGCATGCTCCTCTCGGCGTAGCGCAGGCACAGCCGCCAGCGCTCGGGCTCCGTCTTGTAGCCCAAATGGTAGCGGTAGTAGAGTGTCTTCACGTGGTTCTCGTGAGTCCGGTACAGCAGGCCAAGACGCAGCAGCACCCGATATCCCAGGTAGTTGTAGATGACGTCCCTGATGTTCGTGGTAGTTTCGGTCACACTCGACTTTGGTTACTTGGGACTTAACTAGCGCATGGCAAGGTTGGCCGTCACCATCTATGTGTCACTGAGAATACAGTTTTAAGTAACTTATTACGACGTAAATAACGTAGGTGGTGTTTGTTTTCGCGGACTTGGTGGGTGCGAGAAAACAAACTGCGATGGAAATCACGAGGCGATTTATGCTGCCATGTGATAATTTTCACAATGTCTCTACTAGAAAAAATAATAAAACTTGGCTATGGCGTCTTCCTCCCCAAGGCGCCATTGTAATGGAAATGTAATTGTAATGGGAAATACAGGAATAAAATTCCCTAGATGATAAAGTAGCAATCCTTCCTCTGATTGAAAATTTTACGGATGCTATTAACGACATTTTTATTAAGATCACTTCTGCGTACATGCTCCTTTTTCTGTATATTTACTAAGATCGCTCGTGTGTGCATGCCATTCGTTTAATATTTTAACATTGTACGACATTCCTGTTATGGTTCCCACTGGACAGCCGCAGTATTTTTAGAATTATAAATAAGAACTCAGGCAGACAAAAACGATGCGTTAGTTTTTACGAAATCGCGATTCGACTCTCAACGTATTGGTTCACACCAGAGCTGGTGTAACAATCTTGGTAAAAAATCTACAACTTCAACGTGTAATGTTTTTCACTGCAACATAACACAAGGCACTCTCTTGACATTAGAAACTCTATTGAACAGAAACGTTTTTACGCTGGGCTTGTATTAGTAAAAGCAGGCAAACGATTTCAGAGAACAAATGCACAACGACTGCGCTTCTGCTGTGTGCTTTTAGAAGTAGTTCACAGTCACGTAAGCTTCCCAGCTTGACTGATGTTTGATTAGGATAGATCCAAAGAAGGTATTCAGGTGGCTCGCAAACCTATTTCTACACCCGGGCGCCTAATACCTTGTTAGAGCGTCCACCAAGAGAAAAAGCACAAGGCGCTATGTACCAAAATCCCTGTGCTGAGTGTTCAGGTTCATACGTCGGCGAAACGAAAAACCTCATGGAAAGAGTCCGTCAACATAAAAATTACGTACGCAAATTTGTCCGAGAGCGTCGCTGTTGCGGAATATTGCGACGACAATGACCACCACATCGGCTTTAAAAACACCCCAATCCTGGATGTAGAAACTAACTGGCGCCAGCGGCTCTTTATTGAGTTGTAGCAGATACACAACACACCAGGAAACAACCGATCCACCGGTACCTTGCCCTCGGCATACGTCAGTGGACTACGAGACTTAGAAGAAACACCAAAGAAACAGAAAAACGAAGATGCTGATGCTGATCCTCGTTTGTAAATAACCAACTCCGAAGAAAACGAAAATACCGCACCTGGTTTGAAAATTAACCTCCGTAAAAAACGAAGATACTCTTGTACATTCACCGCAGAACAACAGAAAGAAGCTGCTTCTCTTTTAAATAGTCCCCCTGAAGAAGGTGCCGAGCCGGCACCGAAACGTTTTGACCCTAACTTCTTTTAGGGATTGGTTGGCGTTAGCTGTTTATTTATCACGTTTAACTCAACCAGGCAAACGTCTGCCGAAATGTTCCCCTTAAATTAACCTTTGTTTGTAAAATAAATGCTTGGCTGTCTGAAGTAAAAACAGCTTCGTCAAAATTGGCTTTCAAGTTCGAAAGAGGACGGAGAAGTCCTACAAACGATGAGGAAGGAGTGGGCAGTGAAAGGGCGGGCGGTACACCGGCAGCATGTTTGGCCAGCATGTTAGAACATGTATGTAACACCATCATAAATTGAAAACCGTGTAATTCGGCTCTAGTAAAAATAGACCTATTTCTAAGTTACATAAGCATCGAGGAGAATGCTGAAAGTGCAGCACGGCGCGCGCTGGCCTTCCCCGTATAAAAGATTCTAAATAAATAATCATAATAGGGCTTTGATCAACGCGCGTGCAAGGTAAAATTTGTTTTAGGCCTTTGCACAAGAACAGTTACTACTGCAGACGCCAGCTCGTGCAGCGCGTGTAACTACATTCGTAGCATGCCCTTGGTGCTTGAGAAATTTATCAAAACGCCTATTGGGACGCTGTCTACTTCTGCGTGCTATCAATACCGGACCGATTGAGTCAAGGCAATCCACTATATAGTATTCCAAAGACGTTGCCGTGCGGGCAATTACCGCCTTCATTTAGGCTTAGTAATGGCCGAAATCAAAAGACTAACTAAAAAATGCGGCAAGATCATTGCTTATGCTTTGTGATTTAAGTGAGGTAAGGCAAAGCGAAAGCCTTCTGCACCATTCATTGCTGACTGGCGCGCCCGATATTGCAGATACTACGACGTAGTCGATCCAAAGCGAGCAACAGTCGCTCGCAGGGGCACCGCCATGTTTCCCTGTCGCCCTTACTCCACGGGTCACGTGACTTAAAATTCCCTCTAGTAGCAAAATACGGTTAACTTTTTACCGCGGATAAAATTAACCGGCTTCGAGCAAACGGGCCCAGCTACTACAAAAGGGGATTGGATACTTGAAAGTTCTGCTACGAGGAAAGACACCTTAGTGACTGCAGTTGTTGTTCAGTGCTCTCGTGTCGCGCGCTGTAATGACACGCGCTCTCGCGTCGCTGCGCTCTTCTGTCGTGCGCATTGCAGCTCTGCTGTCGTGCGTTCTCGTGTCGCGGCGCTCTCCTGTCGCGCGCTCTGCTGGCGCTTTCGTGTTGTGCTAATTCGTGGCGCCCCCCCCCCCCCCCCTTTCGTTCCATCACGTTTAATCAAAAAGGAAGCATTAGATGATACTCTCCTACCACTTACTTGGACTGTTTTTGCAGAAAACGTGCCATTCCGGCAACGTACTTCACGTTTCCCACAAGGACCTTAGTCTGTGGCCCGATGGTAATTGATGTTCCTTCGAAAATAGTTTTCAAATAGGTCATCCAGTTCCACTAGAACATCACAGGGTGAAGGCGCCCATTAGTACGACGGCTGGGAGCCATATCATGGGGAAACTTACATAAAAGGAGTTGTCCAGTTCCTTCAGTTTTAAAACTTTCTTTTCGAAGTAATCTCCTGGACGGTGTCCTTCTGCATAACGAAGCCTCTGGAGCAAATCAAATATTTGGTATACTCGTAGTTATATCCACATCGTAATTGTGTAAAATAATTTGCGGGAGTTCATCGTTTAAAACGTTTGGTAATACATGAGTGTTGTTTCCTGTCAACACTAAAGCACACTGCACGACAAGACTATAATCCGGACAACTCTTTATGGTATTTCATAAGTGAAGACCGTGTGTGCGCAACTTTGAGAGGCGCTTAAGGTGCGCGAGCGCTCGGGTATCCATAGATTTTGCTTCATTGCCAGAGAGCATTGTCCTACGGTACAGGGTGGATTGGCGCTTGTGATATTTCTCTCAAAGTACTAACAAACAACACGTTTTAGGGACAAAGGTGTTCTTCAGGATTAACAGAATTTGACACACTGGTAGCCGGCCTGCTTTCAGAGGATAAGTGAAGAAGACGTGTTATTTTTTGTTAGGCCTTACTCTCCACTTGTAATAGTAAACTGAGATGAGTTTCCGGTAAGGACCGGTTAGGATTTGACATCATTTATTTTGTAATATTCGCGCGAGAACGCATGTCATAAAAAATTGTCAACGTAAAAATCAGCTTTTAAATTAAATGTGTGTTAATCAAGCGTATCATATTTTGAACCGACTGACAAATTAATTATTTAATTTTTTATTAGGTATTGATTATTAATAGCTCCCTCTCTTTGTCACATTTTATGTTCGAATATTGGACGCTCGCCTTCACTCAAACACAGGAAACTGTTACAATATTCTCGAAAGCTTCAATATCTCTAAGCAATGTTTTTTATCTCCTGATAAAACCTTTTCAAATGTTCGCGCCTTCTAGTAGCTGCTGCGTCAATTATTATAGGCCGTCATATTCTGGGCATGCGCTTTGAGCAACGTTACTAAAACACTCAGTTGGGAAACTCGCCGTCGAAACCTGGGCCGCTGGCGTCCACCGAGACCGAGCTAAATACGACAACAGCGCCACTCTTTATCATTTGTCTGTACTGTGGTCACCTTGAGCTTTTTGAAAGCCTGTTTTTGCGTAAAAACAAACGAAGACTCTTTTTGTATGAAATTTATAGGAGTTTAGTACCAAAAGAGGGGCGCGTTATGTTTTTAAAATCTTTAGTTTGCAGCGTTTTGCGGCACAATTAATATTGTTTTTATATAACATGCCTCAGCGGGCCTTTCAGGTAGCACGTCCCGCCCTAGGGGCATTTTAACTTCGATAGCTCAACGCGGCGCGTCCGCCGGGGAGACGCGGGTGGCACCCCTGTAACCTCTTTCGCTGTATCTGTTCTTAAAGCCAAAATAGAAGTCACGTGCAGTTCCTCGAGTGGCCGCTGCGGGAGAAGTGGTGGCATTGTGTTCGTCATTAGCTCTGTGCTCGGAGACAGTTTGGGGCCACTTTTTGAAAGCTGTCTCTATGGGAGTTTCCCAACTGAGTGTTTTAGTAACGTTGGCTTTGAGCATGCACTGGACACGACTGTTGTGTCAGCGTTCGGCGTGAAATCGGATCGAATCGTGACATGCTCAAAATATGTCGGCCGCCAGTGTTGCTTGATGAACTTCTGGAAAAAGTCTATACTGTCCACAGGTGGCCAACATCTCTGTACCCACTTTGATGAGGTCAATGTCAAACGCTTGAATGTTGTCGCAAAGCGTGTCCCACTGGTCGTTTGTGGGAACGATACCGTACACCGTGAGCATGGCATCGCAGACGCTTTGTCGAAGCCAGTTCGAAGACTCCGTTGTGGACAGGATGAATTTGGGTAGTGCAGTCGTTTCAGGCTCCTCCAGCTGCAAAAAAAAAAAAAAAACGTTAAAATGTTATTATGATTCTTTTCTTGAAATGAACTGCATAGCTAAACGCTGCCGACAACCCTTTCATAAACATCTTTACAAGGTTTTTGTTCACGGGAAATGTTTCTCGGTTAAAATGAAGTCGCCTATGTATGTCCGAAATATACGGGCAGATCACGAGAAAAGAAAACCTTGTTTTTTGGCCCGAATAAATGAACTAAGCATCGCAGAAGGCTGAAACTCCGTGAGAATATGACGCTAGCGGTTTGGATAGAACGCGAAAGTTGACAACATATGACGTTACCTAGATCAAAAGATAATTGAGAAAAACTAATTTTTCTTTTTCAATGAGCCGACGTCCATTCAAGTTTTATTTTGTCAAAACGAGGAATGACATTGTGAGCGCTTGTAGCATCTATTTCAGTGAAAAAAAAAAAAACTTGTCAGCAAGAAAAAAAAAATATCATCTTTCTTGCTTACAAATGTTTTCCACTGATATAAAGCATCCACAATGTCGAATTCTGTTTTGACGATATTAGGCTCGGTAAACTTCGGATCATTTAGACTTTTTTTTTTTTCAATTATCTTTTGATCCGGGTAGCGTCATGTTCTCAAACTTTGGCGTTCTATCCCAACCGCTAGCGTCACATTCTCACAAAGTTTGAACTTTTTTGCTATGCTGAGTAGTACATTTTGTACTTAAGTGCATTATTTAAAAACTTCGGTCGTTTTCAAGCACAAAAAACCAAATAAATATATAGTTTATTTACCCGTGCCGAATAACACGGTTCTCATTTCTCGGGAACTCGCTGTATATCCGAAATAAAGAGCACTAGATGCTAGGTTCGGTTTAGATCCGAGATGGCACCGGACCCACCACCTAGTGTTTCTTATTTCGATCGATTCAAGTTTATTGTAACGACTGCTAAGGGCACCGTGTAGCTCAGATTTTAGCCGTGCACTTCAATACCACGTATTTTATTGCCTCGTCTTCCTCTTGACATACGGTGCTCTGCCTACTGTTTCCTTCATACTTTACCCTTAATGTCACACCAGTTCCCAATACTCCGTTTTAGACTACAGCTGATGATCAGTGATGTCACCCCTCCCTGACAGACAGTTTCGGTTCGGCCGTAGATGCTCGAAACCAAACTTTGAGTTATGATATTTGCAAAACTACACTACACACAATATCGATAAGAAATATACTATGTATTTCAGAGGCACTGACCGAGATGAAAACAGTATTAATCCCAAATTTGAAAATATTGACCGGAGTTGCCCTTTAAATCCTAGTGCCAATGCTACGCGCCAATGGGACCAATGAAGATTCCCTGGAAGCGCTAGATCACGGCATGCTTTGTGATTATATGTGTCTGTTACTGTCAACTGACCCAATCGAGCGCGAATAATGCCTCGTGACATCGCATTTTGAGTCTATGCGTTCGAGCTTGAGTCGGAAATATATTTTGAGCTTGCTCAGAGGTGACGTTCTCTTATGCTTTGTGTCTGCGACGTCACGACCATGTTTTGCCCAAAGTAGCTATCGACCAACACACTGGGCGCGTTAAATCCGCGCTCCTTTTCTCCTACTCCGGCGCTCCGAGTTTCATAGCCTGAGTGCAGCAACTAAACGGCACATGGCGTTTAGGAGCGCGACACACCGAAACTATCGAAGAGCCACGGGAGCTCCTTCCGACCGCACGGTTATGACGAACCCGGCATCTCCTGAATACGGGTGGGAGAAGTCGAAATTATTTCGAAGATAAATTAATTAGGCCCGTGTGGACCGGCAAAGTGGAACGTAAAAGAGATGACGACGTTATTGAGTTTCTACAAACGTTTTAATATTCCTGAAATGTTTGAAGACTCACTTCGAGTACATATGTGCAAAGTTACCTTGGCCTATCTATTTATTGGCTATGAGTTCTGCTCAGATTGAAATTAAAGACAACAATTTTGTTCCTGCTTGCCAATGCAGGAAACCCTCAAACTTGTTAGATATTTCATGGTTCTGTCTTGCAGCGCGAGACGGAAGCTGCGCTGGTAAGGCACACCGTCGTTCAAGAGATAGAACGTCAATTCGTTTTTAGGCCAGATGCATGAACAAACCTTTTCCGCAACGCTAAGTCATATCTTTCCGCTTTCCAATCAAAGTATCTTGATTCATTAGGCTAAGCATTCTAAAAAGGACGGCGGTCTGATTCACATCTCAACGTTTCTGTCGTTGTGCTGTGGGCACGCTACCATTTTATAGATTAATTTGTTTTCAGGCAAGATGCATGAACAAACCTTTCCCACAATACTAACTGCTGTTTTGTCTTTCCAATCGAAGTATTTTTATTCGCTGCGGCTCGGCTAAGCATTCTAAAAAAGGCCGCGGTCTGACTATCTTTTCATCACGAAAACTTTTTGTCGCCGAGCTATCGGCACGCTCATTCCATAGATCAGTTAGTTTTCAGGCAAAACGTGTGAGCAAACCTTTTCCTCGACACTGACTGATGTTTCAGGTGTCCAATCTAAGTATCTTGATTCGCTGGGCTAAGCATTATAAAAGGGGCAGCGGTTCGAATGTCTCCTCATAACAACAACCTTTCTGTCGCTGTGCAATCGGCACTCTACCGTTTGAGAGATGACTTTGTTTTCAGGCGTGATGCACGAACAAACCTTTTCAGGAACGCTAATTGCTGTCTTGGCTTTCAAATCATACCCTTTTTACCTGCTGGATTAAGCACTAATCAACTGAACAGGGGCATCAGTCCGGCCACGCCTTTCGTCTCGATTGTCTCGACAACAGCGCAGTCATCTTGTTTGTGGACGTGACGTCACGGAGTGCGAAGAAGTCAGTCGCGCTCCGAGAAATACTTGGTGCACGAAGAGCGCACTCGAGTGTCAATCTCCGGTGACACTCCTGTCCGTTTAGTGAAAGGAGCGCCGAACTCGCGCGCTCCGGAGCACGGACTTAACGCGCCCACGGTTTATAAACAATCCCGCGTTTGCCCACACCGCGTCTGAGCAATGTGCGTACACAGAAACTAGATTCGAGAGACGACGCGTCTGCGCATGTGCAGTGCATACAGTAGCACCACCGCAATTTCGGGACGTCAGAAAGCCGAGTTGGTGTATAGACCACTTTCTGTTCAAACGCCACCAGGATGTGCTCCAGTCTTTGACGTCTCAGCGAGTTTCCGGTTCATACAAATTATGAACAAAGCCCACCTTAACTTCGCTGCTTGAAACGTTGACAACACATTTCACCCCCGATTCTCTAGGCGAGCGCCAAATAAACCAAGAAGCGCAAGGTCTGTTCTAATGTTTCGAATATCCTTGTAAACCAGATTGTCTCCTCCAAGTAGTTAAATCGAATAGCCGAAGACCCTCAAGAAATCTCCAGCCCGAGTGCATTTTCTGTAGCGTGCTCCAGGCTTCTTTCCCAGTTCCGCAGGACTTGATGTAATCCAGGTCCTCGACGATAAGGAAGAGGAGGGTGCGTCCCTGCTGTCCGTCTTGTTTCCTCGCTCGCTTATTTTTTCTTCGGAGTAGCCAAAGTCGATCGTTTCCCAGTTTCCTTTTGCACGAGCGCAGCTCTTGCCCTTATTTACCATGTATGGTAGTTGTCCGACGACGACTTCGGCAGTCTTAACTTCTCTAGCGCCGACATGTTCGGTGACCTTCGACCGGAGGGAGAACGCAAACGCACTTCGCAGCCTCTTCGCTTCTCGGAGCTGCTTCTCAACTGGCGCGCACAAATACAATCTGTCAGTCACTTCTTTCCCGACAAATTCGCCATTACCACACATAGGAACGATCTTGTCAGACACTTCTATCCCGTCAAACTCGTCACTGGCGTGTCAGTCACTTCTTCCCGATACTTTTGCCACTGGCGTGCATTGATACGATGTCTGTCACTTCTATCCAAAAATCTCAGGTTTCGTACTTATGACGATCCGTCCTTCAAATGGAAAGCCCAAGACTACTCATGCACCGTTCGTCAGTCACGTCCTACGACAACTTTGCCGTACCCACGCTAAGTGGGTCTAGAAATCTTCTCAACTCACCAACATGGAGTCCGCAGCGAAGTTGGTGTCCGCCTGACGAAAAACACGCCACTTTTCACTTCCTCGACAGGCACACACCGTTCGTAAGTCACTTCGTCCTGACAGCTTCACTACACCCACGCCTGTCTTGCTTCTTCAGACATCGGCACTACGTAGCGAAGACGGTGTTGCTTGACAGTTTCTTTTCAGCGTGGTGGCACCTCTTCATCACTAATTAAAGGCGATCGCTCTTCCGCTCTTCCGAAATAATGGTTGATACTTCGTCCATCCACCCTAACTTGTTGGTTTTTGTTGAGTAAGCAGGGTGACCATATTTCTGGGGACGCGGATTGAGTGGATTAGAGCGAGCAAAGAAACGAACACACAGCTGTAAAGCTGCCATCTTGTTTATTTGTGTGAAGGGAATGCGACAAAAAAGGGGCAAAATATTAAACGACGACCGCGCAATCTCAGCGCTGGTTATTTGACGCCATCTCGAGACGGTCCATTACATTAGCAACAAGTTCAGCACTATACTTTGTTGCATTAAAAAAAACCCAATATAGGCTTTCCCATCAAAGCCCTCCGCCCTTTCTAACTGAGCCGAGCAAACGCTGGTGAGAAGGCAACTGAAAAAAGAAAACCTCTAGTCATGGTTACCAAAGAGTTTCTTGGGACGAGCTTTTTAACCTGCAACAGACTATAGGTTAGGTCCTTTTAATTTATCTAGTCCTTTTTTATTAACACTACTGATCCCCATATGAAGATTTTAGTATTGAGCCAAAAGATTTTGTTTTTTCATTCATTACAACATTCTTTCTAAGTTTATTTTCCAAGGCAAGTTGAAAGTTTATAACAAAAACTTCTACCTAATCAACTGGTACTACTTTTAAGAATTATGAGAGAAAAAATTGTTTTTTCTTCACAATGTGTTCACTGCAATGGTTCAATACCATCAGGAACCAGAAATGTATATTTCACCTTTCTGTGAATTTTTATGAACTTAGACGTATATTTTCCCTTTGGTCTGTGCTCATATTGCAGGCAACCACCGAAGTTCCTCGCACAAAAAATGTGGCATCCACACCATGAGGAAATTTGTCTTCACCAGGTATATGCGCATGTATGTGTGACACAACAGAAGCCTGCGAATACCTTCACGAAATGGTACGTCTTGAAGACCTGGACTTACAAAACCAGTCCAATTATACGGCGTGTCCCCTAAGGAACATTTGCAGTGTTTTTTCACAGCAAAATATAAACTATGCATTGCCAAACGCTCAGTCTCTACTCAAATGTAGCGCTAGCACACCGGACCAGATGCCAATGTTATAGAACTTGCCATCTAATTAGAGATTTATAAGTGCTTTTCAAAATGTTTCAGAAGGAAAGTAGGGCCTGTTCCTGTAAGATCATACCATTCACCTTTGTGTATTCATAAGCAGCTATTTTCCTACATAAAAATTTCCGGAAGTCACTCCTAACGTTTGAACTGAATAACAACGCGCTCTGAAACTTTGTCATTTGATCCAGACTGCTTGCGATAAATGTGGGTGCAAACTGAGCATTCGACAATGCATAGTTTATTCTTGCCGTAAAAAAACACAACATTTATTGGAGGCACCTTGTAGAAAATGGTGAGTGTGCAGTCACATGTAAAAAAATTGAAAGTGTGCTGACATTGTTTCCAGCAGATTTGTTGTGCTGTTCTTCAACACGATGGCACGCTTCTCGTAGCTACCAGCAAGCAGCACTGTCCCGTACTAAGGAATTACGGCACATGTTCCGTAATTCCGCGATATAGAACATGTTGTGGAAACAAAGTTAGCAGGGATATGTCCTGTTCTTAAACGGTATTTTTAGGGCGCAGATCTTGGGCGTCCGTTTCCGGCTTGAGCGGCTTCGGCGTCGGCGCAACTGCGCGTTGCATTATGGGACAATTCTTATAATGACGTCACACGTGACGTCATGTGGGACGTCACGAGGGTCACTCATTACGTCACTTGTGACGTCACCGCGTGTTTCATCATGGGTAAATTTTCCCGCTAAATTTAGCACAAAAAATTCACCGCTAAATTTAGAGGAAATATTTCCCCGCTAAATTCAGCGGAAAGAATTCCCCGCTAGAGTCAGCGGAAAAATGTTACCGCTAAATTTAGCGGGGAACTTCTTCCGCTAGATTTAGCGAGAAATTTAGCAAAAATTGCCCGCTAAATGGGAGAGGAGGGTACCAATAAGGAGGAGGGTCATATCCTCCTTTCTATACCTTCCCCTCACCCTGCTAAAGAGATGCCGCAAAAAAAAAATCTTAAAATATATTTTTTTTTTTTTTATTTGCTTGCAATAAAAGGTCACCTTTTTGTTTGTTTTTTCTCGTTCTGGTTTGCTTCTAAAGGGATAGTGCAGAACTTACGAACGCAGTGGATGGTAAAAAGAAAGCTCAACACTCTTATTTTTCCAAAAAAAGCTCTGATTTGGCTCGTCTTTTGCCTACTATACACCTTTCTTGCTTGATTACCTTTTTTATTTAAATACGAAATAAATGCAGATAAGAAACATTCAATAATGAACAAACGGTAAATAAACAAAAAAAATTTCAATTTTTTTTTTGTTTTTGTTTTTTGCGGGAAAAATTTTGTTAACATTAGCGTGATAAAACAGGTGTCATTTAAATCATGATCTGGATCACGATTTAGATAATCTTGATTATTACTCTCCCTCCACCCCGGCTTTCATTTCCACCGTGTATTCGGTCAAAGCCAAAGTAACTGTCTGATTCCAAAGGGTAAAACGTGGCAGGGCTATAAGCTTTCAGTGGTCTTAAAGGGTAACTGCAAAGAAAAAAAAAGTGTATTTTTAAACAGCCTAACTGGGACAAGCATGTCACAAAACAATTTTTCCAATAAAAACAAAATTGTTTACAGCAATATTTATCGGGCGGGACTGATTTTAGTCTGTGGCTATTTCGTCCGTTTTAAATCACGCGCCACACAGTTGGTGTTCTACGTCATGGAGTGACGTATTCCAGCCACTCCGCGCGCGTCGAAAGAGCGGGAGTTTCAAATGTGGAGAGGTTGTGACTTCGACTAAATTACGTCCTGCGGCGTAAATACTGCTAAAAAAAATTTTTTTTTTCGCGGAATATTTGTTTTGTGACATGCTTGTCCCAATTAGGCTGTTTAGAAAAACACCTTTTTTCTTTGCAGTTGCCCTTTAAATATACAAAGTGTGTTGGTTTAACGTACATAAATGATGACTTTGGAGTAGTCCTCCGGGTCCACTCGGAGCCCGACACTGACAAGAGGAAAGAGGCCGAAGTCCTTGGCCAGCCTTCCGGAGATCACCGAGATCTTGGGGTCGCCTTCGGGGTCCAGGGACGGGAAATGTTCCAGGCCCAAAATCAACGGGACTTTTTTTATGTCCTCGGTACTGCCATTTCTTTCTGAAAAGTCGTATTTTTAAAAAAATTTGAATCTTAGGCTTTACAATTTGTATCTCCAAAATATATGCGTTTGCCACGACGACTTAGCACTGTGACGTGAGGCCGCGTGACGTCACGCGATGTATCGTGACGTCATGATATCAGGCGACATCACGACGGAACAACAAAGAAAACAGTGCAGTATGAGCTTGAGTAGCAGCAGAAGTTATTGTATCTGTCTCCGCATTAAAAACTCCTAAATCAAAATAAACCAACCACAATTAAGATGAGCGCGAACTATCGCTGGCCGTGCCCCCTGTGCGCAAGGAGGTACCACAAGTGATGACGCTAAGTGCCTGGCATTAATCGAAGGTTCCAAAACCTAGACCAAAAGGTACCACATATTAAATGAAAGTTACATCAACTTTATAACTTTATGCTCAATTATATTATCAAACAATAATGGCGTTGTTTTTAGTCTTGCTACAAAATAAGTTCACTAAAAAGGAAACATTTTTGTGCGTACGTACCTGCGTTTTGGCAAGCTGCAAAAATGGCTTCGAATTTGCGCACCGGTATATGGGTCATTTGATTCATGATCTGTCCTTGCTCTGTGATGGAAGCTAAAATAAACTTTCAGTTAGCAACATTGTGATAGTCGTATGCTTGTTTTACTTGCGCCTATTTAACCTGTCGTTTTTTATATTTGAAATATGACTGAACATACGTCTGCTTTTTTGCGATTTGATATGTGGCCTACAAAGGAGGTGCGCTAACATTGAGTAAGGTTAGCTCCACTAAGCCGAGGTTTCCTGATTCAATTTCGCAACAGGATTGTTGCAGTTAAATAAAAATGTTTATCGAAAATTTAAAACGTTCATGCGTTATTGATTGCGTCCCATTCGAGTTATAAAAGAGTGCAACTCAAAAATAAAACACAAACTAGCTTATACGGAAAATCAAAAGGTAGATGATCAGTAATTTCGGGTTCTACTACTTTCATATAAGTATTCAGGACTTAATTTTTTTATTAATGCTGGAATATATTTTTTTTGTATTTATTGGCACAGTACTTTTGACATAAAATAATACACACTACTATGTGTCATGGAAGGTCAAGACTCAACTTCTGCCACTTAAAACAGGGACGATCCCAGTTTTGCATTGAAAAACCAAACCTGTATACATTACAGAAAAAAATATCACACCAATTAGAAAAAGATAGTGAATCGCCACGTCTGTCATGATGGCAGTTGAGCACATTTTTTCAATGCAGTAATTTAATTTATAGTGATTGCTCTAACCTGTATCAAACGCTGAGAAACCCGTTTGTTTGCTGATGAATACCTCGTTCTCGCAGCAAGCTTTTTCTCGGCTAAAGAAGCTTTTTTTATATATTTAGCTTTTTAATATGCAGCAACGTAGGTTGTTATTATATCCATGGTCACCAATATACACACCTTCCACTTCGGTATAGATAGTTTTTTCGATGTCAGAAACGATCCAGTCGTCGAATGAGTACTTGCGCGAGAAGGGCGGGATTCGGGCGTTTCGGTTCCATTTCTCACACACGTGACTGTAGAAATCTTCACACGGATCTACGCGTCCCTTGTCAATCATGGACTCGTAAAACTTTCCTGGAGTCAAAGAAGACGAACCGGTGTTAGAGACCACCACAACCTCGTCACTTGCTACAAGTCTATAATTGTTCACTGAGCATTCCACCGCGTTTCTGCGCCACCTCGTATAGCAACCAGGTGTGAGGATAAGCAAAACAAGGCACGGACAAATATGTAACGTGCGCGACCGCAAGTTAATAACTTATGTAACTTATATTTCTTTGGATTTCGAACTATGAGCTCCCGATATCTATCAGCGGTGGGCGTAATTTAGGGAGTCTCCATGTCTGATTTCGTGTAGGGAAGACGGTTACAAATAACTGTCGTTTACATAAAGAAAACGGTAACTATTACGATATGTGGTCTCTGGTTTAGACACTATATTGGCCCTTCATTACTCCCTCCCTCGCATCTGTTTTACACTTTATGTTTTCGGCTGCGTTTATTGAACAATTTTTAGTGACGGTAAGTTTTGGGAACTACAAAACTGCTCAACTTCAATAGGCTGGATATCACCGATAGGTCATTCAGTCACGGTATTGCCTATAATAAAAAGAAGAAAAAAAACGCGATCTTTTTTTTTATTTACTCATTTATCGGGGGGAGGGGGGAGAATAAATGCTACTTACCCGCTTCTCTGCAGGCCCTCGTCTCACATAGACGTACTCTGTCAAAGCCTGCGAGGAGGAAGTACGCATGGTGAGCACGTAAAAGCTCACATTTTTTGGCTACCGCAAGTGCTGCTTACCGACAAAACTTCGGAGGAATACTGCAATGGGGATCGTCACCAGCAAAAACGTGGACACTGGTATGGCTCCGATGACGAACCACCAATAAGAACCGCCTTTCCCATTATCTTCTCGGCTGTAAAGGTTACCGTCGAGAAAGTATCGCTACTGATGAAACATGGCATTATTCCCGCTGCTTCTGTTTGTTTGTTTGTTTTTACCCCTAGCCCTACTGAAAAGTGAAACAACTTCCGTAATTTGCGCAATAAACATATCAGAACTTGTAAAAATATTATAAGTCTTCTGTAATGGTTTTAAAGTTAATATACAGCCTTTTATGTTATTTTGTGTTTATTGGCCACATTAACAATTATTATATAAGGCGGGACATATGTTTAATAATTCAAGCAGCATTTGAACGTGTGTACGAGGAAGGGCTTTAAATTAAAACAGCCAGAAACTCTGATCATTGATTCCGAACGCAAAGACGGCAAAATTTGTCACCTAGAAGAAGTGTATCGATTAGGAAGGTTACTGAACGGTCAAACATTATAAGCCTATAAGTAAAGATAGTACTATAGTGTAAACTATTTCCACATAAGATAATTTAAACTATGTATATTTAATGCCTAATTAAAAATGTATCTATTTAATTCAAGAGGATATATATGGCAGAACCCAAACGGTCACGAAAAAGTGAGCGTCTCAAGAGTGGACCCTTCAACGCGAACCATCACAAATGATAGACACCTTCAGCATGCGCCGGAAGTATTTTCCGCTTTATGGTGCTAGTAATCGAAATAAACAAACTCCTTGCGAGATTACAATTGACGCAGTTATAATAACTTAAGCATACCACGTGCCCTAAGTATGATGATCGGCTATTACGTTACAAATAATTACTGTAGACAGCATATCAGGAGAACAATGAAAAACATTAAGATTCCTTTGTGAGTTAAGATGTACACTCTCAGAAATAAGGGGTGTAGTACTTACAGCCTTTGTCCAATGAACACCCCAAAAACAATTCGACGTTGAGTCCACTTATGTCGAATCGACGATACCAACTTTCACGAGTGGTTTGATAGTCGAGTGCTACGACTTTTTTAAAATAGCTAATGTACACATTTGATACTATATAAAAAATACTCAAGGTTTTGTAGCTTCTGCTGCAAAACCTCGGTGATTTTTTATACAGTATTTGATACGTACCAGTGGGTTCAAATGAAAGGCGAACAGTGTCGTAACTTCGAGCCCACTGCCAGTGCAGCATCCAAGCTTGGGTTGTGCTTGGCGAGGTTCAACCACATCGGAGTATGGCGCTGCGAGGTTGTTCGTCCTACTCCGACGTGCTTGAGCCTCTCCAAGCACAACCCAAGCTTAGAAGCTGCACTGGCAGTGGGCTCGAAGTTTCGTCACTGTTCGAATTTCATCTGAACCCGATGTACATTAGCTATTTATTAAGTTATATCACACAGCTATCAAGCTGCTTGTGAAAGTTGGTATCGTCAGTTCGACGTTAATAGACTGAACGTCGAAATGTTGTCGGGGGGTGTCATATAGGGCGGTCCAAGTCATCAGGCTCGATCTAAAATGGACTGTAAAAATCGACGCTTGCACGTAGCAATTTAAGCTTTTCGTCAAAGGTGTATTTCACAGGTCGGTATTTTCTTGTAAAATTACAACGCGTAGTTCTCTTTCTGTAAAAAATAAGGCCAACAAACTCGCCAGGTTCTACGGCGGGCAGCGACGCAGACGACAAGGGTTCAGTAGCGGGGTGTGTTTGGCGTTCGTATTGATAGATGGCGGCGGGAGCAGCGTCCGAAGTTGCAGCCGACCAGCGAAAGAAAGCAGACGACACGACACGCAGACGAAATCCGTTGGCAGCCAAAACGCCGCCGTTATGCAGGCGCGTTTTTTGTGTGTGTGTGTGTGTTTTGTTTTTTTACTTGAAGTTTTGCTTTTATTGTCCGTGTTTATTTTTTAACCGAAGGTACATTTCAAAACTATTATGTTCAGTTCAGGAATGGGCAATATTTCAAATACAAGTATTTGAAATACGTATTTCAAATACTTTGTGTGTTTTGCATTTGTATTTAATTACAAATTGGGTAACGTATTTGACGTGTGTATTTAAATACTAAAACGTGGGTATTTCAAATACAATTGTAATTAAATACAATTTTGTGGGCGAAAATACATTCCTCAAATTTATTGTCACTCTCCAGAGCTGGAAGAAAACTACGTTCTGCACCGATAGCAGTGTCTCTGAATCAAGCACAAGCGTTCAGTGACTTTCTGATTACGGTGCTAGTCCAGGGCAATAATAGTGACGAAATCGACGTTCACAGGCAGACTGGCTAAATAAGTGCCTGTGACAACATGTGATGCTTTCCAGCCTGATTTCCATCCATATTTTTGCCTGCAACATTCTAAATGCGCAGGTCATCCAGATTTCCGTAACTGGTGCGAGTTGCAACAATACAAAACTTTCTAGCTAGTGCTGCGCGTCTTGGTCGTCTCGGTTCTTTGTTGGTCTATACCAGGGATGGGCAGTATTTCAAATAAAAGTATTTGAAATACGTATTTTAAATACTTTGTGTATTTTTCATTTGTATTTAATTACAAATTGGGTAATGTATTTGACGTACGTACTTAAATACTAAAACGTGGGTATTTCAAATACAATTGTAATTAAATACAATTGTGTTGGCGGAAATACATCCCTCAAATTTATTGTCACGACTCATTTTGCTCATCCTAAGACGTGTCCAGAGCAGGAAGAAAACTACGTTCTGCACTGAATACAGTGTCCCTCAATCAAGCACAAGCGTTTAGTGACTGTGATTACGGTGCTAGTCCAGGGCAAGAATAGTGACGAAATCGACGTTCACAGGCAGACTGGCTAAATAAGTGCCTGTGACAACTTGTGATGCTTTCCAGCCTGATCTTCATACATATTTTTGCCTGGAACATTCTAAATGCGCGGGTCGTCCAGATTTTCGTACCTGGTGCGAGTTGCAACAATAAAAAATTTTCTAGCTAGTGCTGCGCGTCTTGATCGTCTTGGTTCTCCGTTGGCCTTTACCCAAATGTAATCGACAAAAAAAGCTGCTTGAAGCTCTGTACTTTTTTCACCTATTACATCCAAGCTGATTCCCTTTTTTTGTGATTATATTTGTATTACGTTACTAGAGCCTCGCACACCAACTCCCGAGTGTGCGATGCAAAATTAAAATGAGATACCCAGAAAGCCGTTGTAGGTGCCCTGTAGTCGCTGATGCAAATCTTGAGGGATGTATTTGGTAAAGTATTTGGAGGAGACCAAATACATTTGGTTGTATTTGTATCTTGTACTTAAATGCTTTTTTGGAAATGTAATTAAATTTGTAATTAAATACATTTTGACGAAGTATTTTGTATTTGTATTTCGATACATATTTGCATGTATTTTGCCCATCCCTGGTTCATTTTAACAAACCACGGTGGTCACGAGCCGTCGCGATTAGAGTTCCTGGAGCCAGAGTTGCGCGTTCACCTCCGTAGCGCCGTTTTTCCTGCACGGCATGTTGATCCCGCTCGTCACGTGACTGTATTCGGCGAATTACGGCGCCGCGCGTTCGAGGCGCGCGGCGCACTCAAAAGCAGGGGAACGTACGCCGGGGCGCGTGCAACGTCTACTTTCCTGCACGGCACTTGATCCGGCTCCTCACGTGATCGCGTAACTCTGGCTCCGGTAGGGAGCCTATGCAGGAACTCTATAGTCGCGATAAGGAGATAACGCCATCTAAATACGAACACCAAACACACCCCGCTACTGAACCCCTGTCGTCTGCGTCGCTGCTGCCGTAGACCCTGGCAAGTTTCTTGGCCTTATTTCTTACAGAAAGAGAACTACGCGTTGTAATTTTACAAGAAAAAACCGACTTGGTGAAATACACCTTTGACGAAAAGATTAGATTGCTACGTGCAGGCGTCGATTTTTACGGTCCTTTTTGGATCGAGACTGGTGACTTGGACCACCCTATATATCAAACGAGAGATGTGAGCACTACACCTCCTATTTTTGAGAGTGTAGGCATCAATGGTGATATGAATACCGTAGCGTGTTTATAATCGTTGCACGCTCAAAGGAATTTTTTGAAAGGCGAAAATACTTCACTGCATACATAAGGGCCTGGGTCGTGGTTGTGTTCTTGTTAAAACTTGTCGAGTAGCCCGAGAACCCCTTGGAGTAGCTGCTCGACGTAGTCGTGTCTCGTCCATCCCCCGTCGTGTCGTGGGAAGCGGCGTCCTGTGAGGTGACGTCCACCTTCACGCTCCACCTCACACTCTGCTGTACACCGCGTGTAATTGCATTTTCTTCCTTCACCTTTGGCGTTCTTTCGTATGGCGAAGAGCAACTAAAGCGCGTCCACGGTTTCATGCCAGAGCATCATTCAAACATGGGCGTACCAACTGGGGGGAGGGTGGGGCAAGAGGGGACCTTGCCCCTCAGTTCTCAAGTGGGGGGGGCGAGGCATGTGCTCGCCCCCCCCCCTCCCCCCCCCCCCCCCCCCCCCGAAACAGCAGCCACTGGGCAGGGCAAGCACTGGCCGGCGGCACCCAAGGGATACCAAGGGCACCGCCTCCTGGCCCTGAAAAAAAAGGGGGGGGGGGGGGGGGGGTTCTGGTTTGCTTTTCCACTCAAAAACAAGTCGGTGTGCCACTGCATTCAGCATATTCCCAAAGAATGCTCCAAACGTTTTAACCAATGAATGAGCGGCAACCTGGTATTGTTGAAACATGCCAGAGAGTTTCAGAGCACCATATTTCTTGTTTTTCGTGTGGATAATGTTAATCCAATCATAAATGTACTTTTGCGAGCTGAAAGTAAATTTCTGCGTGTTTTCCCTCCAAGAGACCATGAAGGAAGTTCACTTTAACGAGTGAAATAGATGTCAGGTGCCTTTCAGGTAGTGTTAACGAAATTTTAGCCTGAAGTTGCACTTGCTCGCCGCACAGATTAATTTAGCAGATCCAGAAAAAATCACACCGGGACCGATGACAACGACACCCGAGACAACGAAAACTAAAGCTTTTGAATCACGCGGTCCCTTACACCAATCTATGCTCGTCAATCGATTGGTCGTGAAC